TTATTTATTCATCTTTTTTTAATTCTTCTTCTTTTCTTCTGTTTTTTCACTTGATGTATAAATAAAAAAGAAGAATTTAAATTTCACTTGCTCGTTTTATTTAAATGTGTGTATTCTTGTTTGGTTGGTAAGAAAATGCGGAATTAGATTATTTGATTTTGAATTCTTGATATATATATATATATATATATATATTTCGCATTAAGAGATGGGATCATCTTAAATTCTCTTTTCTCATAGGTTGCTGGGTTGTTTCATGCTTCGAATATTTTTCTTTTTTTTTTGGGGATGTGTCGTCGGTTCTCTGTCAATATTTTTGCTTACTTGATTATTCATACCGTGATTTTTGTATGTTGCAAGGGATCTATACTAACCATCCTGGAATTTTTTTCTTCAGTCGGTTCTTACAATACAGGGATCCCCGTGCTCAAAGAAGGCATCCTTTAGTAGACCCTGTTGTTGTTTCTGAAATCAGAAGATGTCTTGAGCAAGGGATGGAATTCCAAGGTGAACTTCTAAACTTTAGGAAGGATGGTACTCCACTGGTGAACAGGCTCAGACTTGTACCTATACACGATGATGATGGAATTATCACACAGGTAATAGGTATTCAGGTATTTTCTGAAGCCAAAATAGATCTGAACCATGTATCATATCCAGTCTACAAAGAGACTTGCAATCAACGGTCTGATCACTCAGCTAATTATTCTCCACGGCATGGACAATCACCATTTACTCAGCATCAAGAAATATGTGGGATACTTCAGTTGCCTGATGAAGTATTGGCTCATAACATTCTATCACGCTTGACACCAAGGGATGTTGCATCCATTGGATCTGTCTGCCGAAGAATCCGGCAATTAACAAAAAATGAGCAGGTAAGGAAGATGGTTTGTCAAAATGCATGGGGAAGAGAAGTCACAGGTGCATTGGAGCTGATGACTAAAAAGTTGGGTTGGGGACGTCTGGCAAGGGAACTGACTACCCTTGAGGCTGTCTGCTGGAGGAAAGTGACAGTTGGAGGAGCGGTTGAGCCTTCACGTTGCAATTTCAGTGCATGTGCAGTAGGGAATAGACTTGTATTGTTTGGAGGGGAAGGAGTAAACATGCAGCCGATGGATGACACTTTTGTTCTCAATCTTGATGCTGCAAATCCTGAGTGGCAGCGGATAAGTGTGAAATCATCCCCACCAGGGCGCTGGGGTCACACTCTTTCTTGCCTAAATGGTTCCTGGTTGGTGGTGTTTGGAGGATGTGGAAGGCAAGGGTTGCTCAATGATGTCTTTGTTCTGGACTTGGATGCCAAACAGCCGACATGGAAGGAAGTTTCTGGTGGAACTCCCCCTCTTCCTAGATCGTGGCATAGCTCTTGCACCATAGAAGGTTCTAAGCTGGTTATATCAGGTGGATGTACAGATGCTGGGGTACTTCTCAGTGACACCTACTTGTTGGATCTCACTATAGACAAGCCTATATGGAGGGAGATCCCAACTTCTTGGGCTCCTCCATCTCGATTAGGGCATTCACTCTCAGTTTATGGTCGGACAAAAATTCTTATGTTTGGTGGACTTGCCAACAGTGGACACGTACGACTGAGATCAGGCGAGGCCTACACCATTGACTTGGAGGATGAAGAACCACAATGGAGGCAATTGGAGTGTAGTGCATTAACCGGTATAGGGAGCCAGAGTTCTGTTGTCCCCCCTCCCAGACTTGATCATGTGGCTGTTAGCATGCCCTGTGGAAGGATTATAATCTTTGGTGGTTCTATTGCTGGGTTGCACTCTCCTTCCCAGCTTTTCCTGTTAGATCCTGCTGAGGAGAAACCATCATGGAGGATTCTCAACGTTCCTGGTCAACCACCTAAGCTTGCGTGGGGCCACAGCACCTGTGTGGTTGGAGGGACGAGGGTCCTGGTATTGGGAGGGCACGCTGGGGAGGAATGGATCCTAAACGAATTGCATGAGTTGTGCTTAGCAAGCAAGCAAGACTCAGAACCATGATTTAACATTGAGCTGTCCATATGTCGGTTGACACAAATTTTGCACCAGCAGCCACTCCAGAAAACTTTGTTTGATGACCTATGGCATTTGAGGTTCTTCAGCTAGATCACATCTTTGTGTATTACTGCATGCTTCCCCCATGCTTTGTGTGCATACTTGTAAGTATGAAAACCTCAACTTGTCTTGATTTTGTGTTGTGCTTTTTGTTGTTGCAATCATATATTACTTACATCTAACGACTTGTATTAGAAATCTGATGCAGGACGTGATCGGTTGTTTAACTGGTTTTGCTTTATGTGCTTTCCTCTCTTCTCTCAACTTTCCCTGTTTATTTTTCCTGTTGCGTGAGAATGCTGGTGGTTGGATGGGAAGATTCTTTTAACTGACGAGCCCCTGTACGATATGCAGTAAAAGCATTTCTGAGTGCTGATTCAAGTGTGTGTGTGTAAAATAAGTTCGTGTGTTTTCATGTATCACAGCAGATAAGATATAAGCTTCCTGGTAATGCTGAACATCTATAATATACTGGTGTTTCGTGCCACCCCTGGCTAGGTATGACAGCTTGCTTTCCTAGTTCTATGCTAATAAGTGCAGTTGTATACGACAATGGATTCACCACCCAATCATGATTATTATTATTATTATTATTTCATTTCACATAACCCAAGATAGGTGACAAGCATCCCTGCTTTCTAGACAGATGCAATGTATCTATTGGCAATAATTATACCGAGATATACATCGCCCATAGGAAGAGGCTAGCTCTATCAAGCACGAGGCTTAATTCTCATGATTGATAACATTACAGCCCCTCCTCTGAAGTTGAACGGAAGATCATTCAGTTTTAGCACAGCAAAACCCCGTGGAAGCCCGCAAACCAAATATAAAGAATTGAAAGGCACATTAACATAACGGGGTTGTGGAGATGATTTTTCTCCAACAAATCTTCTTATAATATACCTGTTCCGGAAATTCTCTGCTTTATCAAGAACAGGAAGGCAAAAGATATGCCGTGCGTGTGTTTGAAGCCAAAGCAGTTGGGAGGTATTTTTATGTATCATTTAACTTGATTTAGCTTCAAATTAGAACCAGAAATATATCAAAAAGGAAATCAGGAGTTATTAATGATGCAAAAATTTAAAAGATTAAGAATCACAACGGATGGCATAAATCGTATAAAAATCTCAGCAATCAACTGCGCTGAGAGACAATTAATCAAATAGATGTAGAGCCTTCTGGGAATGTGCCATGAATTTTAACTGTTTAAGTGTTTGATAATATTTTAGAAGTTAGTATCATATTTTTTTCGGTTGTTTTTTAAAAACCATGAACACAACTAATAACAATAGCTTACAACTAATAACAATAGCTTTTCCAAATGAACATGTGATTATACTTTCTGGACTTGTAATATTATACTCTCTGGACTTATAATATGAATGTTCAAATGGACTTATAATATGAATGTTCAAATGACTATACTCTCTGGATTTGTAATATGAATGTTCAAAGGGATATCGACGCCGAAAAAGAGAACTAATCTTTTCATGCTTGAAAGTTGCCTCCGCCGAATGTTCTTTGGATCCTATTTGCCTTTCTTTACCATAGTTGCTACCCGTTGCATAGTGTATATTTTGTTGTATATTGTGTTGACTAACGGAAACTATGCGTACCTCTAAGACTTCATGAAGTGCAAATTGCTACAAACCCCCAGGATTTCAACCACAACCCTATAACATTTCCGGCTGATCATTAATCTTATCCTCAATTCGTTCATGACCTTCAAAGGATGTTTCATCTTTTAGGCAACTCTTTATTGGAGGTCCACGAAGTCCATCGTTGCCAATATTGATGGATTTATCATTTAAGGTTTGAAGTTGGTTTTCCAATGGAATATGACCTCATAGGTTACCAAATGACAAGTTCACGTAACTCTAATAATTCAAAGCATAAATGCTTGGAGAAATTGCGCCCGATAGCTTGTTTCTAAAAAAAAATCAAGAGATTCCATCCTATTCAAATTGCCCAATATTTAAAGGGATTACTCCCTGCTACTTGTTCCCTGATAGATTCAGATTTTGTAGCCCTGCTAGACTCGTCAACTCCTTTGGAAACTCTCAAAATAGATTCTTGCTGGAAATGTCAACTGAAAATGGAAATTCAAGTGTCTTGGTATATTCAAGCTCCCTCCCTTTCCACGAAACCAAAGCATTCTCGTCATACTTTCCTGCATAGAGCCAGTGTTCACATTTCCTTGCCTCTCCAATCATCACAGAAAAGTTGCTGAAACAACGAGGAAGAGTTCCAACAATCCTATTTCACACCAAGATCAGCACTCTGAAGTTGAGAAAGGTGGTAAAACTATGAGGAATCTCGCCATCAAACTCGTTAGAATGAATGCTTAGTATTTCCAGAGAAAACTTTTCACCTATCTAGGAAGGATAGTGCCAGTAAAAGTATTCTCAGCCAGATCAAGGGTTTGCAAGTTTCTTGGCTCCGTCGCTCCGTCAAAGATGCAGGGAGCTTTCTTTAAAAACTGTCTCTCTTTAAATATAAATATCGGAGACATTGTAAAGAACCTATATAATTGGAAATCCGACCACCCAAATTGTTATTTGAAATATTCAACATTTCTAAACGACTTAACTATTACAAACACCGAGGAAGTCTCCTAGATAGCTGACTTCTGAAAAAATCAAGTTTCTAAATCCCTCATCTTGCATATAGAAAGTGGAATACTATCATTTAATTGGTTACCATAGAGGTGTACTTCATGTAATTTGTGCCACACATGGCCCAATGGCTTCAAGAAGGGGACCAGAGAGAATTATTGAAAAGATAGTACAACCACATCAAGAGAAAAGGAGGCTAATGGTCCCTCAAATTTGTTGCCATTCAAATATATGTTCCTACCAATAGCAATAAGAGATTTTCTAAGCTTTGGTAAACATTTTCTAATATGATCGTGAGATAGATTATGCCAGAAAATACCGGAGGAAATTTCTTCAAACCAATATACTTGCATTAAACATTTATAAAATTCGAACATTCTTTTGTGTTTGAACTTCGAAGCCATTGTGGAAACTGAGATCGACATCCCGATACCTTGAAGCTGAAATGGAGGCAACCATGTTGGGCGAAATCTATAACAAAAGAATTTGAAGACAATATCAGTCCCTGTTAAATGCCTTAAGTTTGCGAAGTGAAGTTCAGACACCTGCCACCCAATTTGTTGTCAAAGACATTTAGAACTTCCAGATTTGAGAGCTGCCCAAAACTTTTTGGAATACTACCATTCAAATGATTAAGACCGAGACTTAACTGTATCAAAGACGATAGTCTTCCTAGTGACGCTGGGATCGGATCTAGAAATGAGTTTCATTCGAGATTAAGGTATTCTAAATGCTTAAATTGTCCAAGTTGAACTGGCAAATAGCCAGGGAACCAATCTGATCCAAGTTTCAATATCTTCAACCTATCATGAGCCCAGCCAGATGGGGTACAAAGATTTGTCAGCGTATTTTGTATTTCAGCCTCAATATTATTCTCATATAGGTCAAGCACTTCAAGGAATTTACAACTGCTAATCGCTAGGAATGGAACCGTGAAAAGCATTTTCACTGAGATCAAGATGTTGAATGCTACTGAAGTTAAACAACCAAGGAGGGATTACAGAATCAAAGCCGTTCTGAGAAAGATCAAACAATTCAAGAGATGTGAAATTAACACTGAGAAACTGAAGAATACTTGAGAGTTGACAACGGGATAAATGTAATTCTAGTAGAGAAGGGAGCATATTTATGGAAGGCAACCAATTGTTGTCTTTTGGAAGGTTCGCTCCAGACAAGTCCACGTATTTTAAGGAAGAAAGAGTATATGTCCATCGGAGGTTGTCAGAAGTCAAGAAATTCGAAGGAGCATAGAAAGCTGAAAAAGTGCCAAGATCAAGATACTGCAGGCTCGAAGGGTTTCCATGAAGAACGGGAACCTTTGCTAGGAAACCCGCAGAGGAAAGGTTTAGATATTTCAATTTTATCAAGGACCATATAAATCCTGGAATTTTGGATCTCGAAGAGAAGTCGTTCATGCTCAGGTCGAGATATTCCAAATGCTTCAAATCAAGAAGAGAAGGATTTATATCACCTTTCAAGAAAACGCTGCTATAATTTCCAGGATAGAAATCGAAATAGGGAATGCCTAGTTCATCTAGCTGAAACTGATTTCGAAGATCAAGCTTGATAACATGACCGCTAGTCCTGCTGCAAACCACTCCTTCCCAGGGACAGCGGTCTTCTCCTATCCACGACAGCAACCAGTTTAAATGATCAATAAGACTATCCCTGAACTCGAGAAGTGCCTTGTTTTCATTTGGAATGCAGCTCACATTTGCAAATGTGCGCTGCCAGTGCCGCAACAATGCTCAAATTTCCGAACAAAGATCAGCACAAGAAAACAGGACATTGGTGGTTGTTGTTCCCATTGTAACACGTAGTCGTTCAGTGTTACACCGTTACTGTACCTATATAATCCATAATTCAAGAAGAAAAGCCTATGACTTTAAATAGTCAAAGGCAATCCATTCATAATGCCATCCAGCCCCCTTGTGGCTCCAAACTCCTCCTGCGTTTTGTGAGCCCCGGCACTCCATTAATCAGTCAATATATTGACTGCATTCTAGTGAAACAGCCAAGGTTGTGATACTCGGATCACTGGCTGTAATTTGCTATGGATAGGATTGTGCAAATGATTCATGGTTCAACTCAAGTAAAGTTGACTGAACAAGCTATGCATGATTAGGGTTTCTCCAATACACATGTTTGACTTTGTTGGACTAGGCCTACGAGCCTGTATTTGCCACCCCTTTCTATTCTTGAGAGGTTTCAAAATTGAGGCTCTTCCTTGCAAGCAAAAGGAAATAAAGAAAAACAATTTCTGAACTCGTTATGATCAAACCCAAAATGAAAGTGTGTGTGTGTTTTAACACAAGAAGTTAGGACGGTGCTTGTTTTTCTGATTTTTTTCCATTTTTAAAATCGATTCCCTGAGCGATAAAAATGTTTCCGGGGAGCGAGGTGTATAATGTATTTGCCCAAAATTTTCTTTAATTGTATTTAGGGAATATTAATCACTACAAGAAATTGTGTTTGCTAGATAAAGAATTGAAAGTTGTTTTCTCTGGACCAACATATTTTTAAAATTTTGAACTTTCTGACTAAACCAAAAACACTTTTCCTACAGTTTAAAGTTCTGTGAGCCCATGGAAAATTGGTTTTTTTTTTTAAAAATCTTTTTTACTCATTTTAGTAAATATTTTCTCAGTTGGTGGTAATTTAGGATATTTTCAACACTTTTTCAAAAATATTTCCAATTTTAAAAATATTTTTTTAACTTTCTAGGAAATAGAAAAGGAAAATCCGGTTGCATATCAATTTTTTTAACTTTCTAGGAAATAGAAAAAGAAAATCCGGTTGCATATCAATTTTCAATTGTCGAGTTTTACAGCTGAAGAGCTTTATAAATTCATTGATCCCCCCTGTCAAAAAAAATATCAATACAGGTTTCTTTGTTCCCTTGCTTGTTCATTGTAGTTCATGATTTTAGATGGAGGAACATTAAGAAATGTTGGGTAGAAAGAGAATAAGATTGATTAATTCTGGACTTCGGGAGCAAAATTGGAAATTGGATAAACGCCCCGGGGATTGACGAGTCAAATCTCGTACTGAATACGAATATTATACTGAAGAACAAATAGCAAACCCAACCATATGAGGCGAAATCATTGAGAAAACTCTATCGAACAGTTGCACAGTGTACAATCCTCGCATTATTATAAAGTACAAAAAGAATATGGAATCAGTTTTATCATCAACGTATTAATCTAGTCTGGAATGTGCACGAGTAGAGTTTCATTCTTGTCAAGCACAAAAAGAGCAGTACAATGAGTATGCCGACGTAGAAAATCTAGGCTGCTATGTTTCTGGGAAAAAGAGAAAGCCGTGGCGTGTGCCAGAATACCTATCATTTCCATGCAACTGAATCAATCTCGTCCCTTGCTGACTTGTATAGCTCAAGCCTTTTAGCTATGGTGGTTCTCCTCTCCATGAGTTGTGGATCCTCATCCAACATTGCACCAAGCCGCTCCTTCTGCGAGGAATCCAAGACAATGTTATCACTTGTAGAATTAATTACTCCCTCTAAACATTAAACAAGGACCTGACACCACCGAGCTCTATATGCCTCTCCACAATGATTGACAAGGTTTGCATGTTTTACATAAACAACTAACAAACGCAATATTTAAGAACTAAACTGGTGAGTTTGTAGCTCAGTGGTACCTTCGCATAAACAAAAGAGATGAGATATCAAGTTCGAGTCTTACCTAACTTCTACAGCTTCTTTTTTTCTACGTACCTTTTCAACAACCAAAGACAGGTTAAACAATCTAAAGTCTCCCCCACTTCAGCAAATTTTGGTTTTTTGAGGAATTTGGTTCCGGTTCTCTCTATCTATACAACACAAGGAATTCCCAACAATCCTGGATAATAGAGGATTGGGTATTCTCTCAACATACTAAATATTTTATGAAATTAACACTTTGTTGCATTACTTTGACTCTCCTTTTAGGTATGCTGCTCGGAGTATCCCTTGGAGTCTTTTTCAGGGAAGATAGATTGGAAGAAAGATGGACTGGGGGAAGTTAGGAGAAAGGAAGAATTGTTTATCACTTCGCTAGTTGTTTGGCTAACAAGGGGAAGGGGAGGGGGGAGGTTAAGAGTCCAAACATCTAAATTAAAAAGGCTGGATAGTTTATCAACTAGCTAGTGTTAGTAATGTTTGCAGTGTCTTTTGTTTTGCCTTGTTTGTAGCATGTTCATTGTATGTGATTACGTTCTTGTGACATAATGCCTATCCTTTGACGTCTCAGGAAAAGCGTAAATCAAGCTTATTGGGGTCACCACTCCCCGTCTCGATTCCCTCCTTGCTTAGCCTTGGGCATTATTGAAGTGAGAGAGGACTCCCACTTTCGCTCTCGCATCAATGTGACTACTCCCTCCTTGCTTGGCCTTGGGCATTATTGAAGTGAGAGCCTCTCCACAATGATTGACAAGGTTTGCAGGTTCTAGATAAACAACTAACAAACGCAATATTGAAGAACTAAACTGATGAGCTTGTAGCTCAGTGGTACCTTCGCAAAAACAAAAGAGATAGAGATATCAAGTTCGAGTCTTACCTAACTTCTACAGCTTCTTTTTTTCTACGTACCTTTTCAACAACCAAAGACAGGTTAAACAATCTAAAGTCTCCCCCACTTCAGCAAATTTTGGTTTTTGAGGAATTTGGTTCCGGTTCTCTCTATCCAACACAAGGAATTCCCAACAATCCTGGATAATAGAGGATTGGGTATTCTCTCAACATACTAAATATTTTATGAAATTAACACTTCGTTGCATTACTTTGACTCTCCTTTTAGGTATTCTGCTCGGAGTATCCCTTGGAGTCTTTTTCAGGGAAGATAGATTGGAAAAAAGATGGACTGGGGGAAGTTAGGAGAAAGGAAGAATTGTTTATCACTTCGCTAGTTGTTTGGCTAACAAGGGGAAGGGGAAGGGGAGGGGGGAGGGTAAGAGTCCCAACATCTAAATTAAAAGGGATGGATAGTTTATCAACTAGCTAGTGTTAGTAATGCTTGCAGTGTCTTTTGTTTTGCCTTGTTTGTAGCATGTTCCTTGTATGTGATTACGTTCTTGTGACATAATGCCTATCCTTTGACGTCTCAGGAAAAGCACAAATCAAGCTTATTGGGGTCACCAATCCCCATCTCGATTCCCTACTTGCTTGTCTCGATTCCCTACTTGCTTGGCCTTGGGCATTATTGAAGTGAGAGAGGACTCCCACTTTCGCTCTCGCATCAATGTGGTGACTAACGAGGTGAGTTCAAGATCATCAATGCTTCTAATGGAATATTTTAATTTGCCAAAATTTCTCATGCATCTGCATTACCCGCTCCCTATCCAACTAGTATAGCTAACTAACCACAACTACTCATTCAAACTAGAGTAACCTTCAAGTCCTGAGTCTTTGGCCTTCCCTGGTTAAAAAAATATGATATATAAACATTAAGGAAAGAAATTTAATAACTTTACCTCCCTCCTCCCAACTTGAGCATAGAAGTTATTCAGAAGACATCTCTTAGCCTCTCGAACCTGGCAATAAACCACAGCTTTCGGAATGGAGTTCCTCAGTGTATCACAAACCATACCAATATAGGCACTGACATTGGATCCTGAAATAAATTCATGATTTATCAGCAATTGTGGTTCCCCAAGTTTTCCTACTATTTGATAATTACATACCTCCCAATTTCTGAGAAATGAAAAAATTTCAGAATTGAACTTCTAGTAATATATGAAAACAACTATTCATACAGCTTCAAATTTTACATGCAAGAAAGAACATAAGCAAATTAAAAAGGAATAATCATACAGACAGTTCTAATCCACAACACTAAACTGATTGCTAAAATGAAGATCTTTAAACTAAGTGCCTCACAGTTTCCCTGATAAAAGAGGAAAAAGGAGTGAAGGGGAAAACAATTAGAGAATCCCATACCAATCCTCCTGAAATGATTGTCATTGTAACGATCCGCATTTGGGCCTGGTTGATTTGGGTTGGTGTTTGTGTTCTTCTCTGGTTCTAGGTGAAGCTTTCGGAAAAATTCCACAGTAAGATAGCTAGACTCCATGTCAACCAGGCGTTGAACTGTTCTTCGGCTTTCATCACGGAATCTCTCCAAAGCTTCATTTGCAGCAGCAGCAATGTCAGATTGAAGGGTTGGAAATCGCTTCAGTTCCTGCAATGGCCATAAGATAGCATCGATTTTTTTATTTTCTTTTATTTTTGGCATCCTCAGATTCATCCATGACTGAACATTCAAGCTCACATATGACCACATGACAACGCATTTATAGCAGGAAATTGTTGGGTGGCACATAACAGTTACTCCAGATGAGGACACATCACTGGTTCTCAGCAGTCATCATTCAACTCCCATATTAACAAGTCGCATTTCTGCCCTCAAATTGCATGCAAGGCATCCAAGCTATCTTCAGAAAGTATAAAGCCAATCTTCAAAACAAAACTATGGTTGTAGCTATTATGTTAAAATTCCAGAGGACAAGTCTTCCCTCAAATGCAACCCTCACATTTCAATTCTTCATGGAGATGCTTAAATTTTGGGAAGAATTGACTTCAATGCAACATGCAACTTGCTTTTGGCTGGCAGCAGGTCAAGCTTTTTGGCCAAGTAAAAGCATCATTTGCTGAACTTCAACAGGGTAAAGCTTATCAAATGCACCTCAGTGCATTAAAAGTACCCAAAATCAGGTCTGATTTATCAATTGAACACAAGCCTATCAAATATGTTTTAGAGAGGATTGGTTTTCAGTTCACTTCAATTTCAACAGAATTCTTAATAAATGTATTCCAATGTCACATGAGAGCATCTCATAGTGAATCAAATACCCATGTTACACATACTTTTTAGTGTGCAAGTACATACAAGAGTTTACTTATGTGGCTTGACAAATATTTCTCTGCAGGCCTGTCTCCATGGGTCCCTAGATTTGGCAGTAATATTGGTTGTATTCCAAAGCAGACATATATACGAGGTTACTTCACTTTTAAGATAAAATAGCATTATTCTTCCAAAATTTTATCTTTTACTGTAGCATCAGCATCTATACTGAGATGGGCTCAAAAACTTCTATGCCAATGAGACAAAACTAGAAGCATTCAAACTTAACATGACTTCATCGAGGACTGTTAAGGAACAAAAGAAGACTATTTTGTTATATAAGCAATGAAATTATTAAAGTGTACTTACTCATCTAGACAGAGAACAAATTTTATTTACATGCAAAAAGTTGCTTGCAAGTAAAGATTGCTTACCTCTGTTGCAGCTATTGACTTCCGAACAAGTTCCTTCAAAACAAAGTGCACCTAAGGAAGAGAGCATAACAGAAAATATTATTTTGTTAGAAATAGAAATAAAAGATGCATCCAATGCCAGAACTACATAATTATATAAAAAAATCCAATCAATTTGTTTCCAAGGCTGTTTTTCTATGAAATGAAAACAATGTTGATTACAATACTACAAAATCATGATATTACGCTATCTCCAGATTATTTCCCCTCAATCCCCTGGTTATAAAAAATCAAAACATGTCATTCAGATATACCCTATAGCATCCATCACCTAGGGTATACATGCAAAGCACAACCAAAGGACTTCTACATAAAGATGAATAAGACATCTATCATTCCCACATTATCCAGACTTTATGAATTGTATAAAAGACAAGCCTGAAGAATGAGTCAGGCAAATTATATGGAACTAAAATTTCTTGCTGCCCATGGTAGCAGGTATTCCTCCAACCATGTTCTGAAGAACCTTTTAAGCAAAACAATACATTGCATATGTAGTTGTACCAGAATTTCAAAATCATTAGGTCTAGCATGGGTAAGAGCATTACTGCATCCACAGTTGCTTCCGCCGGTCCTTTGAAATAGCTTATGGATCCATCAATTAGTCTTCTGTATCCCTGTTCTGGAGCAATTAAATGTGGCTGATAACCATCAGCTTCTGAAACAACTTTTTGCACATTTTTCATAGAGAGATGACGATCAAACGGCAGCTTCTTCAAAGCAGCTGGTAATTGATGATCAAAAACACCATATATTCGATCTCCACCAGGACGCCTGAGATAAAAATTGTTACTCAAGTATACGGCAATTATCTGGGAAAATTAAAATTCCAGAATGAATTGCACATGTTGTCCAAATCAAAAACATCAGACACCAAATTCTGACTTTTATCAAATTGTCTGTAAAATTAAAATAAAAAATAAAATCAACAAAGATTCTGTGTAGATTTTTCAATGTGGAAAACTGTCAGTAAATAGAAGCGAGAAAGGAAATTGCAATTACCCTCCATCAAGATGTTCCTTAAATACACGGTCAAATGCACGACACAATTCTAGAATCGTGTACAGCTGAGCCTATATAAAAGGAAACATAATTGCAACAAGTTAATATTGGACAATCGAATACTTTCATTTACTAAGAAATCTAAAATTCTCATTGTTGTGATTTCTCACCCCTGAGTCTACTGCAATAGGCCTGCCAATGCGGTCCAACTCTGCATTAAGCTCATCAATAGTCTTATTTATTAGAGCAATGATGCTTGGTATCCGCTGTCTGATAACTGTCTCTAAATGCTAATATGAGAAAACGTGCAAAACAACAAACAGGGAAGGGGGTACAAAGAAGAAAATATCAGTTTAAGACAGGATTCAAAAGTTAAAGCTCCAAAAGGAATGACATTTGTTATAAAGTAGGGGACATTGTAATTAGATAATATGGATAAAAAGACCTTGGACAAAAGTTTTGCAAGATACTCTGCACCCATTTTACTGGACAAATGTCCATACTCGGGGCTTGTTTCAAAATATTCTCTCTCCTTCCGACGGGCAGCAATCATGTCCACATTCTTGTTGATGTCAGCTTGTGAACGATTAACAATTCCAACCCAGGGATGTTGTAGCCTATATGACCGCCCTTCAAGAACCTTAATTCATTGATGTAGAGGAACTATCAGATTTATACTTTGAGGAAATGAATTTCATAGTTAGCAATGAAAGTAGTCATAAAAATGAATCCATACATCCAGAGCATTGGTTCCCTTGTCCATCAGATCAAGCTTTGTCAGCACACCAAAGGTTCTTTCACCTAAATACACCAGATACAACAAACAAAAATTTCACTCTCCATCCATTAACCACTTTTGAAAGAAAGCTTTAGAAGGGAGGGGTTTCGCCCTTAAACATTCGCAGCCTAAGTTGTCTTACCTGAAGGATCAACTTCTCTTGCTAGTTTTATGGCGTCTGAAGTGGCAATATCTTGATTCGCAGGAGAAATAGCCAATATGATGCTGTTGGGCTACCAAATCAGAGAATTCCATAAGCTGATAAGTAAAAGAGTATGTAATCACAAAATAGATTATCCCAAAACTTCATATAGAGTACGAGTCCTCATGATACAGCAATTGAATTAAAAAGTGATGTATAACACAGGAAGAAATGGATCTTGAAGAGATAATGCTTTTCGTTCCTACTTTAAAATGTCATTTCAATGTCAACAGAAACAGCACTGGCAAAAGGGAAGTGTAAGGCATGCTTTGAAGAATAGTAACAGTAATGCCATCCATGCACATTAAAAAACATTACAGGATAGTGTGATCTTGCACATTAACAGCCAGGACACAAGACATTTTGCCTCACTGTCTCAAAATTTAGCAAGGCCAATTTTTCTTGTAGAAACCTTCAGCAACAGAAAAAGAAAAGAAAAGGAAACCAGAACCTTATAGTCAAAATTTAGCAAGGCCAATTTTTCTTGAAGAAACCTTCAGCAACAGAAAAAAGAAAAGAAAAGAGAAGGAAACCAGAACCTTATAGGCTCTAAGAATAACTCTACAGGTGGAAGAGGAAGAGATGAAAGATGGGGGAGGGGGGACATGCAGGTTGAACTTGCAATTTATTCTACAACCAACACGCTTCTAAAAGCCACAGGCCCCACCTCTGTGCTTTCTTTCTCATAGATTTTCAACACGACACAACAAGTCTTTTCCCGCCATTTATTGGATCCCACCTGCTACTATATGACAAAATCCAGTCCAGGCATCTATTACTGACAGAAGGAGTTTCAATTTTGAAGAAGTGGTCTCCTTCTGCAAGGACCTGGGCAGATGAACTGATACAGGTCCATTGCTGAGACAGAAAAGGCAGGGCTCAGGTTTGGAATACCAAAACTACTCTAACAAACTACCTTTAAGTGAACAAGAATAAAGTAACAAAAGAAAACCGCGCACATGGAGGTTGAACCCTAGATCAATCGTTGTTTGCTTTTGCACTGGCTTGTGCTTAATGGTTTTATTAAGTCTTTTAGAAACCATTTGGAAATAATTCATAGCATACAGCTAAAATAACTAGCATTACAGTAAGAAAATTTTAACTTGCTTTAACTGATTGATTTATAACAAGAATTAAATGGCATCCATTCTAGTTCAGGATAATATGGGCATTAAATCCTTCAACTCTAAACAACACAAAGTTATGCTAAAAGAAACCATGTCTGAATTAACATGATTCAATCCAACAGGTAGAATGTCCTAGATCACTCAAAAAATCCCTGTTCTTTTCTTCTTATCCTTTATTGCCATGTGGAGTTCTGTGATGGGATTTCTCCCATCACTGATTTTCTTGAGATTGGTTAAATCCTTCTTTTTTTTTGTATTATTTATTCTCTAAAAATATTATGCATGTGAAGAGGTATCCCTTCACTGATCACATTCTCTTATTTATTCTCTAAGCATCTTGCGCATGTGAAGGGGTATCTTCTTTCTACTAAAAAGTTAGATATCATTCTCACCTTCTCCACATAAGAACGGACCATATTTTCAATATCTTCAACTATACTCTCTGGCTGGCCCTCTGCAAAACCCAAAATAAAACATTATTGCAGTATGAAACAAAAATTTCTAGCAGTTATAAAAGAAATTTTAAGAACTGATCTGTGCAATTTACACTTAAAGATAAGAGCAGTCAGTCTTACCTACAGCCACCTTTGTCAAACCAGGAAGATCTATGAGGGTTAGATTGACAACTGTCAAACAAAATCACGAATTAAAGTCAAACCATATGAAGGATTCAAGAGGCTCAGAAATAACATATGTTAATGAAAACTGAGAATGCAAGAGAACGAGGAAGCATCAAAATTTTTAAGTGTATATACTCACAAGAACAAAAAAGAATCAGAATAAATGCTTGAACAATCACTGTTTCCCAAAGAACCTAGCCTGCCTTACCCCCCCAACACAAAGAAACCAAGAGAGAGAAAGAGAAAGATGGGAGACAGCTAATGTATACTGAGTGAGTGATTGTCACTAATGAAAATTGTGTGAGGTATCTTGGTTGCATTTATTGTGTGAACTCCCCAAAAAAAATCCAAAGTTCACAAGAAAAGGAAACAAGTTTGAAACTTGGTCAATTCTAGAGGGATCCCTTCAACTGATAAAGGTTTACGTAGCAGGAAAGTGGTTCTACAGAACAAAAAGTACACGTGACAGTATGCAAAACATGCACAGGCAAGGATGATGAACCTTGGATGAAAAACATTTGACATCTGCCCCGAAGAAAGGAAATCCAAAAGAAGACATAAAACATTAGAGGTATGGATGGGCAGCTCATATCCAAAAGATCACAAACCAGCACTAGAAGGGGTTAGGAGCTAGGATCACGCACAAAAATGGGAAAGGAGACGCAAATCATAGCTGCTAGAAATGCCCCAACTCTTGTGGCAATAAAATAGTTACTTGCACCATATTTTTCTCTTTAACTGCCATGCCTACAATTCATATTGGTCTTTCAATGGTCTTAAAATGAACTAGAGATACAATTAGTTAGGTCATAGGTTTCTGTAGAACAGTCTTTTTAAATAAACAAACCTATGCATGTACACTTAAACACAATAAGGCACTGTAAGAGTGTGTTTGGCAGTGTGGTAACGATTGCTTTTCAAATAACTTTTTGTACCGAAATGCATACCAATGATTTTTTTTATTTTTTAAAAATCATTTTTAACACCAGAACATCAAAATATCCAAAACATACACAGTCTTTTTAAATAAACAAACCTATGCAGGTACATTTAAACACAATAAGGCACTGTAAAACCTATCACCCGGTTAAGGTATAAAAAATAATTTTTTTTTTAATTTTTTGGGAATGCCACGTTCCCAAACAGCCCCTAAAACCTATCACCCGGTTAAGCTCCCACCACAGCTGCTTTCAAAACCAGAAATTGCACCCTTGTGGTTGCAAGTCCAAGACTTCTACCATCGCTGGCAGCAAGCATTTCCCCTCATTTTCACATGTGCGCTTAGATGCGTAGGAGAAGTGATATTTAAAAAATGTTGTGGGAAGAGAATTCTTCTCTTTAAAAAATGTTGTGGGAAGAGAATTCTATTCTCTTCCCACAATTGCAGCTTAAACAGGTCAGTTAAATAACTTTATTTAAATGTAGTTGCAAGGGAAATACCGACCATTTGGAGAATATATACTGAGATGAATTGGAACATTAGAGATTTGCTTGCTCTTCCCAGTAATGCGATCTGTTTCATCTGCGATTTCCTTACGGACAGAAGCTGCATACATAGAGCATAAACAAGATAACTGAATTAAGAAAGCTTTCGGCAACGATCTGAGCGAGGATGGCAATCCTCAGCCAAAATTGATTTAGTTTTCATACCAAAATCAGTAAACTTCTTCCTGGGCGCATGAAGAAACTCGGCATAATCAGACCCGCCATCTATCTTATGAAGTTGCAATACCAGTGGCCTCCTTGTAACAATACCTTCAATACACAACCAGAACAAGATTACATAAATATTTAATTGATCAAAGTAATTAGATACTCAATATCCTCGGGTTTTTTTTCGAGTTGTTAGAAAAAAAATGAATTAAAATGCAATATCAAATCATGTCAGGTAATTGAGAGCTTACCAGATCCACGAGGAAGGAAATCTCTGCCAACGACGCTTTCCAAAACTGAAGATTTTCCAGAACTCTACATGCATTTCCACAGAAATATACGAAAATCAATTACTCCTGAAAAAACAGATAAAGAAATTAAAAAACAAAAAAAAAACAGTTGAGATAGAATACCTGGCCACCAACAACAGCAACGGACGGAAGAGCTTCCCAGAGGGACATGCCTTCACCGCCATAATCACCGAGAACAGTGCAAGCTCTTTGGATTCTGTTTACGAGACCGATCAAGCTCTCCATTGTAGCCATTTTTAATTGCTTAAATGAATAAATAAATTGAATCTTTTAGATCTGATGCAATGCGTGTGATTTTGTGTAAAAAAAAAGAAATGTGTGTGAGAGAGACAAAGAGAGATCGAGTTGAGGATCCAGGAAAGGTGTGAAAGGGGGTGTCTGGATCGGCGGAAAAAAATATGGAGATTTCGGAGTTCGGCAAGGAAGGAAGAAGAATAGAATAGATGGGGACGTGGAATCTGAAACCGGGAGAGAAAATGCTTAATAAAGAAACAAACGGTTGGAGAGAGTGAAGGCTTACTTACCCAACATGCGTGTGTGCTTTCCCCTTTTAATATCATACATACTTTTCAATGTAAAAAAAAAAATGTACATTTTTCCCAAATTTGGCTGTAAACATTACAATTAACCATCCACTTACACATCCTAAGCCAAAGTTGAGGGTAAATAATGGGAAAAAACAGGGTTGACGATGAAAAATACAACTTTTATTTTACTATACAAATTGGGAGATACTATGAATTATATAGTTAAATGATCATTTTAACTTTGTATTTTGGATGATATTTCCGATTGATCACTAAATTTTAAAATCAAATCTATACATCCTCGTATCTCAACGTACTGCTAGTAGCTTCCTGTAGATGGAAAGCACTTTGCCACGTAAATTCTTGGAAAAATATTTTTAAGACAGGTATTTTTACTATGACAATCTTAACTTGTATTTTGTCTCAGTTAAAACTATATTACGAGTATTTAGTATTTGAGTTAGTTATGACTTAGGCCATGTAATTATTTAAAATAATTAAATAGTACTATGGGACAATACTGATCATTCTCAAATAATGTTTTTTCCTTTCAAAGTTTCCTTTTTATATATAAAAAATGAATATTTATTACAAATTTTATATTTTGACTAGGTTTTTTTACTAATGATTTTAAATATGCATTTCCGAAATAACGTGATATATTGAGATGAATTAATTTTCTTAGTTGTTGATCAAATATCAAAATTATCTCTTATTATTATTATTATTATTACTATTATTAGAGAATTATCTCTTATTATTATTATTACTATTATTAGAGATGTGATATTTCCTCGTTAAATAAGCGTGTTGAAAGTCTCACGATAAAACTTCTCTTCATGGGCAGAATAACGTTATTATCTTTACCGTTATTATCTTGAATATAGTTAAAAACAGAAAAGGCTTTTTTTAAAAAAAAAAAGGAAAAAAAGGATGATTGCCATTATAGAAGTCAAAATATTTGGATTAGGGACTACATATTTTATTCAGAAGGAAAGATCCATTAGTTAAAATTTGAGATTTCAACAAGTTTTTAAAAAATTAAAAAATTATGTATGGACCAGGGATAATATAAAATTGAAAGAATGACAGTCTTCATTACTCAAATTCAAGAGCATTTTAAAAAATGTACATTAAAATAATTTTACTTTTTTTTATTTTTAATATCTACACAAAAAATACTAAATAAAAAAACACCAATTTAAATCACAATAAAACATAGATGTTTTCTCTTGTTCATTATATTTAGGTGGTAACTATTGCTTTAAAAAAAATATTTGAAAAAAAAAAATATATATATATATATCAACACATTAAAAAAATTAAAAAATTAATTTAAAGAATAAAATAAAATAAAATTTAAAGGCTTTTGAAACGTGCTTTTATTTCTTCCAGTCAAGTATTAATATTATATTATTATTATTATAGTGGAGAAAATGGCAAACGTTTCACATGACAAGACCGTGCAATTGAGATGACATGAACAGAAAATGAAAGAAGAAGATCAGTGCTACATTTATAACCATATAGATGAATAACACAACCACAAGATCTGAATTTGATCTGATTACAATAATATTAACATGAACAGACAACAATCACGCTAGATGCAGAGTACAGATAATAAACTGCAAAATGGAAGACCATAGAAAAGCCAATAAACTACACCTATACAACCACACAACCACTGTCCACTCAAAAGAAAAACCTGACAAGAGGTTAGCCCAAAGTCAATATCTTCCTTTCCATCAGTATGCTGGTCTCTCTAAACAGAGGAATAACAGACTATGTCAGATGCATACCGATTTCATCCTACGGTAATTTTCTCTCCCTGAATAGTTTCTTCGACAATTTCAGTTGAACAGGGTCATCGGCATGCCAGTTACAATCTTTATAATCAATCACAGTAGAGGGAAATAAAAATTATAAAAATGAACTGAAGACCCTATGCAGATTTACTCCTTGCTGATTCCGGGGGAGCAAATTATTGGTCATTGGGTGCTGCGTGTTAACCCGCTACGTGATACACTTCTGCACAAAATAGGAGGATCTCTCTAAGACAAATAAATATTTATCTAAATAGCTCCCTTTTCTTAAATAGCAAACTTTTTTCAGCGCTATTAACCAGACGAGATAATTGAAATCATAAAGTTAAGTATCTTCTAGGTGAATAGAAATTCACGTATTGCCACAGCCAGAATTTAATCATGCCAGATTCTGTTCTACATGATCCTATACAATAAGGAAACAAATTGAAATACCCCATTAATAAGGAGGATAACAAAATGTTAGCAACCAGTTTTAGCATCTAACTCATATTTCTAATCTAATGGTCCGTGGTTTAATGGAACTGAAACCAAGATCCTCTACTTGGACACTTAATCCTGTAAATTTAATTGATAAACAACAATAAAGAACATGGGCAAAGTTCATCTTCTTCATTCAATTGTTCATCATCCTCCATTTTAGTTGCTTCAAACAATAGACTACAGGCCAGGATATTGCTGACCACCAAAGGGCAATGTTTATTTTAACTTCTTCAACATGCAATCACGAGTAATATATGGGATAGAGAGGGGAGGGAGGGGGCAAAGCTACAAAAACAGAGCCACGGATCTTGGTTTGGTTAAACTTTAGCCCAGTTCTTCAGTTTACTAGGCATGCCATTGTCAGAAATCAAAGTTAAAACTCTAATTCCTCAAGACACTCAACTAGATCTCATCTTATATATTTGCTAAAGCAAGAGCCAAGCCCAGAGAAACTACAGGTCTCGCTGATTGCCATTCAATCCCTGCATACACGTCCTTTACATTTGGACAATTTCTTTCCCAGTATGCATTACTAAAAGGATGGATTGACACTGAATATAGCTAACTACTATATTAAAACAACTATAGATGTAAAGTCATTAAAACGAGAAATTGAAATGAACCAGAAATTTGAAAATAAACTTTCAAAAGACATGGTTTGATCTCCTTGGTCAATGACAGATAATTACACACCAACCAATGGTGTTCACATTACAATATATTAGTTTAGTTAAACGTGTGAATTATTAGAGTGAAAGAATAGAGATAAGTTTCTAAAGAATGTACCTCCCAGGAAGCATCTGAGCAGCACTCACAGGCCCTTTCAAATTACCAAACCGCTTTGCCCTATTCTCATGTTCTTTCTCTACACGCATGGCAGCAACCTCCTTCTCCATTGCAGCTACTTCTCTTCTCATCTTTTTTGCCTCAACTTCCATTGCCTTAGTTAATGTATCTACTTTCTTAGCTAACATCTGTAAAATCAACAATTGCAAAAAAAATAATTAAACAGAAGTATAAACAACAGGACAATAACACAGACGAGAGAAAAATATCAACCTCGATTGCATCATCCTTGTCCTTTAGGCTTTGATCTTTTTCATGACCAGCTTTCCTCAAAACTACAACCTCTTTTTGCAACATATCATACAGTATCCCAGGAACACTGTCCTCTGCATCTGCCGGTGGGAACTCAGTGGGCTTTTCATCCGAGTTCCCTTTCCACGAATTAGGTGTCTCAGTCTCCTTGGTTCCATCACAAGGTTGGTTGAATGAATGATTTTGTCCAGCTCCATTCAAGAGCAATTTACTACTCCTGTCCAATGATCTTGTGCCCCCATCAAATGATTTTGATGTTCCTTTAGCATGCTTCAGCACTGAACTGGTGCTAGAGGACAAAGATCTAGACTGAGAGGTTCTCTTAGACAAAAAGCCGTTGGAGGTCAATTTTGAAATGTTATCAGCTCCACCTAAGGATTGACGACGAGGCGGCCCATTGCTTATACACCTTCCCTCTGACGCACTGCGATTGCTGCTTGAAGACCCTCTTAAGCTCTCTTCAAGCACTTTGAGACGCAACTGGTATTTCTCCTGAAAAATGCAAGAGCATAGTTTACTTTCAGGAC